CAAATGAAATGTTAACTTTTTTTCTTTTGTTTTGTTTTTTTCTCTTTCTCTTTATTAAAGAAAAAAAAAAAAAAAAGCTCCACTGAGGTCCGAAGTGGAAAAAAAAGATCTTGAAGCGATGTAGTCATGATTACGTTATAGCACCGGCTACATACTTGTGAGTTCAGGGGGAGGACGCTGTGATATGTACAAAGTAATTGTTGCTCTTATCACATTGCAGTCAGTCTGCAAGAGACACGACAAAGCCACATTACATTTTTACATTTGGATTGTACCGAAAATGATCTGTAGATGGTAGAACCGTAAACTATTCATGTCAAAATATTGAGATTTCTTGGAGCAACCTAATGCTAGCAGGCATTGCTCTTTTTTTTGCATTTGTTAGATCTGATTCTGATGACACTGACCACCTGCATATAGATATTTAACATCTACAGATCATTTGAGGCACTATGCAAGTAAAATATTTGGCTTTGTCCACAAGAAGCCAGTTTAAAAATGTTTGATTTCAGATCGCTGCGGTGTCTGTCCACGTTCCTCTTCATGTTGAGGAAGGGTAACGTGGAACAGTAGCAGGTTTGTATTTCAGCACTCGGCTCTTGTCAGTTTTGGAGATCTTCATTTGTCTCAGATTTGTTTTAAGAGCCAACTCCCATAAAGAAAAGCGGTCAAAGGTCTAAATGAACTCTGTGAAATCAGGGAATTATTAAGTGTGATTCCTTTCAACGGTAATGTCTTCTAAACGACCTCCTTTGTGACACTTCTAATTGAAAAAACTTTTATAGCTCAGAATGTATTGAAATGCAATTAATTACCATGCAGTCTTTATGCTTACTGGACTTTCTTTGAATAAAAAAAGAATAAAGATGTGCAAGTTGAAAGCCTGCGTTGTTTCACTTCCTCTGTTAATGCTGCCGAGTACATTAAATGATTCATTGCTGCTTGTGGTGCAACAGCGCCCTCTTATGGATGAAGAGTAAGACATATAAAGGCATTCTGGCTGTTCAAAAAAAAGAGAAAAAGGTTTTCATGAACTCGAGACAGTTAGTGGTTGATTTCAAATTACTAGCCACTGTCACAATTGTCTTAATTTCTTTAGCTTATTCATGCTTATTCATATTATACCAATTTACCATTATAAGAACAGATATCCAGCTTCCAAATGCAGGTTGATGACCAACTTTAACAGCTCATATAACAAACTCAAATGACAGAATCCATCTGGATTGCTGGTGGATGCTTCAGATGATATATTTCCCGTACTGCCTGTAACAAATTTTAAAATGCCTTTGCTATAATAACAAAACATATATGTAATCAGCACTTAAGCATTAGTATCTCTTAACTATAAGAAAAATGCACTCTAACGATGACTAATTCACAAACATTAACACAAATTACAAATCCGATACGTTCATCTGCTGTACGGTACACACTATGCAGAGTTTTTAATTGGCCCCGAGAGGCTGTCGTCGACGCACAGTTTGTCAGCTGGGGACAGCAGCTGTCAATCAAACAGCGTCTTTATAACCAGCCGCAGAAGCTGCATCACCGTGTCTCAGGATAAACCAGGGGACAGACAGGAGCTCTGCTGTGATTATTGATCGACAATCGATACCTTCTCTGATGCGATTATAGTAACAGGTTTAGATTCAGAGTGCTAGTATTGCTAGATATATCAAATCTCAATTTTGAGCCCTTACATTTTGGAAAATCTTCTATCGAGAACCTTTTTTTCTTCTTCTTCTACTAGCTGCCTTAGACTATTCCTGTTATTTCTTCTCATATTAGCTGACTATCTTTTTTGGAAAAGATGGATAAATTGAGTGGAAACAATGTGACAGTGGTGAACAGCTCCATAGACAAGTGGTCATTCAATGAACGAGGCTCACAGCAACACCTGGAGCCCGAGGAGCTGATGGTCCTGGTGCCGGCTATTCTAGGAGTCATCTGTGTCTTGGGTGTGGCTTGTAATCTCACCGCGATGGTCATCTTGTTCTCAAACGCTCATAGGGGCAAACTGTCTCTCATCAACTCTCTCATCTTCAACCTGATGTTTGCTGATGGACTGGTGCTGTTGTTCACGGTTCCCTTCAGGGCTGCCTCCTACTCCAAAGCCAGCTGGAATCTGGGCTGGGTGGTCTGCAAGACGGCCGACTGGTTCCTCCAGTCCTGCATGGCAGCGAAGAGCTTCACATTGGCTGTCATGGCCAAAGCGTGCTACCAATACGTGTCCAACCCCACCAAGCAGGTGAGCATCCGACTGGGCTCCATCCTGGTGGTGTTCTTCTTCGTCTGGCTGTCCGCCTGCTCAGTCACCGTCCCTCACTGGCTGTTTGCCACGCTGCAGAGAGAAACCCGCGGACTGGTTTGTATGCTGATGGTTCCTCCTGAAGCCCGGGACTTCATGGCTGTGTATGTCAAAGCATACCCCCTGGGGGTCTACTGTGCACCACTCAGCTTTGCCCTGGTGTATTTCTTGAGGGCTTACGGCCAGTGCCAGCGCCGCTCCAGTAAGACTCAGAACCTGCGCACACAGATCAGATCCAAGAAGCTCACTTTGATGCTGTTTAGCCTGACCGTGGCCATGGCTATTCTCTGGCTTCCGCAATGGGTGGTGTGGGTTTGGGAGCGTCATATCGCAGAGAAGGAAATCGAAGGACCTCAGCCCCTCATCTCCTCTCTTCCCCCTCTTCTAACCCTCTCTGCCCAGCTGCTCACCTTCTCTCTGTCCCTGGTGAACCCTCTCATCGTCCTCTTCCTCTCCGAGGAGTTCAGAGAGGGCTACAGGGGGCTGTGGAGGCGCCTCACCCTGCGCAAGCAACCTCCACCAAAGCCAAAACCCGGACCTCACACCCCTACATCTCTCCAGTCGCCTTGCCCCAGACCAGAGACTTCTGGCCAACTGGGGGGGGAGAGGAGCCTTCGGGCAAGCTCCAGCCAGGGTCCCAGCAGAGAGGCTCAGCCCCAGCCGGAGCAAGGAGGAGAGAGAGACGTAGACATGGTGAGCCTCAAAGATGGCATCGTTTTGCCTGATGTGGAGCAGTTCTGGCACGAGAGGGAGTCTGGATTGCACACAGAGGGAAATGACCCTGTGCCGTGGGAGCACCAGAAGGAAGAGGGGGGGAAAAGAAACCACCTTTCAGCTGATCTTTAATACAATCCTCAGACAGCAGCAGCTTCATCAACAGACCTTCATTTAAGAATTGAGGCTGCTGCTGAGTGCTGCGCCGTAAATCATTTGTATTCTGTCAACTGTGTTTATATTGTTCGAAGGTAAGACGTGCATTCAGAGTGGAAACCCAGAGTGGGCTATAAATAGAGCAGTATCATCTGTATATACGTATGGTGAACATTATATAATATTGTCTTTCAATTGTGTTTTTACGAGGAAGAACTAGATTATAGTGCAAGGTGGCTTTTGGTGGCTGTAAATGAAAGCCTCTGGTAAGTATGGCAATGTGAATTCAATACTCAGTAATCTATATATATGTTTTCAGTGTAGTGTGTGAATTAATATCGGCAATTACAGATTTATTGAATTACTCGGACACACCTTTTAATTTATGTTCTTAACGACTGGTGTGTGCTGCAAGAAATCCTCTGGGAAAAATCTTAAATTTGCATCTTAATTGGAGGTAGATGTTAACACCTAAATGTATTTTGATCAGTGTTTACAATAAAGACAATTCTATAAATGTTGCCTGTGTGTGATAACATTGTTCTGTGGTGTCAAAGATTATATAGATTGGAAGGGAGATATAGAAAACTAACAGCTTTTCTTTTTTATGTATCTGTGTTCAGTTCAGTCTGGAATTTTTGTGTAATTGTTTCAATCAATGACATACACACACACACACACACACACACACACACACACTAGTACAGTAGAGTCTTAATAAGATGGATCATTAACAGATGGTCTCCTGCTGACATTAGGTTATTACATATATTTTCATAAGGGCATTCATTACAATTGCCAAGGGTTCTAATTAGAGGAAAAGAGCTTTCGTCTGAACTCAGACAGTCGTGTCAGTGAACTCACCTCTGTAGGAGTCTCATAAGGAATTCTCCATGCATTGATCTGAATACGCATAACAGGTCAAAACCTTACAATTAAAAGGGATAATCAACATAGAGGAAACTGTGCCTGAGCTGATCTGGGATCAATTTTACTGTGTGATGTATAAACAGCAAACCCGTCTTTGTTGAACATTAAAGCCACATGTAAATAGTACTTTTCAATCTAATCAAAGACCAATACTGCAAATTTTGACATGGTGTAAAATGTATAAGGCTGGCATAATAAAATGTAAAAGTAAAAAATAAAATGAGAAGATATGAGTCATCCCCAAGTTACCTTACACCTCTTTTTACTCCCTCCCCTCCCTTATGACATTTTCCTTTCATTAATCATTTATGTTGACCTTTTATTGCTAGAGGCAAGTACCTCAATCAGAGCAACACTTAACTATATCAACCCCCATCAATCCCTCGGGTTGTGACCCGGCCATAAACACCGAAGGCAAGAAAATATGCACTCATTGTTGGAATGCAGTTTTAACCTTCCCTGTTTGAATAGAGAAATGATGAAAGGTCATTGTACAGGAATACCACAAAAACAGTAACTGTGAACATTAATGATACTATCTTTAAATACACTATGTGGCCACTATATACAGTTTGGCACCTCTGGCATTTACTCTGTTAAATGAGCCAGTAAATCTGCAGTTGTGGGATTTTATCCAATTTAAGTGTCAAGGCCTGAAGCTCCTAATCACTGGTAAACAACGGGAGCAGTCCAGGCCATCCTGTATTTAAGACATTAAAAGCTGCATGCCTCTGGTCCAGCAGCCCCAGTGTTTTCACTTGTTTTGCCTGATTAAACCAGGAACAGTGGGCAAGCGCTTGACTGGCAAATCCTTTGCTCGCTTTGTACCATCATGCACATAAGACACACAAGACATCTCTCCCAGTAGGAAAAGAGCAGGTATAAATGATAACGTTAAAGATGGCTGATCCACCTCAGCTGGCCCATTTCGACACTATGGATCAGGGGCTCTATACTCCAAGCTCCTTCCGGATGTCTGGGTTCCTCATCCTATCTCTAAGGCTGAGCCCTGCCACCCTACGAAGGAGGCTCATTTCAGCCGCTCATTCTTTTGGTCACTACATAACGCCCATGACCTTAGGTGAAGGTCGGAACGTAGATGGACTGGTAGATTGAGAGCTTTGCCTTCCCGCTCAGCTCCTTCTTCACCCGGTCCAGTACAACGCCCACATCGATGATGACGCCGCACCGAACTGCCCTTTTCAATCCCACAATTCATTTTAACCTCAATTGTGAACAAGCCCCTGAGACACTTAACTTGGGGCAATGACTCACTCCCAACCCACAGGGTACAATCCACCGTATTCCGAGGTACTGACTCTCATCCCAACCTCTTCGCACCCGGCTGCAAAAGACCACTGTGGGTGCTGAAGGTTACATTCTGATGGAGCCAACAGAACCACAAAGAGCAGAAGTGCAATTCTCATCTTCATGGACATGCGATTGTCCATGAATCGATGACAAGGGAGACAACCCTGGCAGAGGCCAACATGCATTGAAAACATGTTTGACTTTGTGATGAACAGACACAGCTCTCAGTTTGGTTAAACAAGGACCGGGTGACTCGTAGCAACGACCTTGTTATCCCATATTCCCGCAGTACCCCCCACGAGACTATATTCTCTATAGTCTCTTGGTTTCTCTATGCTTTATTGATTGTTGTAGCTTATCAAAAGAAAGGGGGAGACTGTGCAAGGACAGTTACTACCAGTTGATTATTATTATTTATTAATCTCAGCATGCCCTTGTGTAAAATAGCGCTTACTGCCTATACATTGAGGCCACTTTGTATTTGTATATTCATATCTATTTGCCTCTGGATCTTTTTTTAATGATAATTTCGTTTATCTGTGTTTGTCTTAACGCAATATCGTCAGTAGGGGAATTTCAATACCACCCAACCATACTGTTAAAACAAGCTAACTTTACCTTCACTTTGTTAACTAGCCTCATGTGCAGGGCGCTTGGTAACGTTAACATTTTGCCTCATGGAGCTATGAAGAAAGAAAGTCACCCTAGTCTATTGTTAATGTTAAATTAGTTAACCCTAATGTTACCAGTTTATCAACAAATTAAAAGTAACCCACCTTGTGAGTGAGAGAGAGTGAGTCAAGTAAAATCACAGTGTGATCGGACAGTAGATTTATGCTGGCTAAGGCTGGGCGATATGACAATATGTATTGTCAAAACAATATAAAAATATTTTTCGTAATGGTTTTTTATTGTGAATCTAGGGCCGAGCTGCTTTACGGCAATATTTACGTAATTGGGGCGATGCTTTAAGTTCTGATCCTTACACATGAAAGTAAACGGTCCAAACAAGAAGCGCTTGTACCTAAACGGAGGACATCTCTGTCATTTGGACCTGGTTTGGCAACAAAACGTTAGATACTGAACAGAAAACAATCTGCGAAGTTTGGCACACGCCGGTACCCACAACAGGCACATTTATAGTGCAGGCTATCCGTCGTCATTAACCAGCACAACAAACCTTTTTTGTTCTTCATCTTAATGACGGACTACACAGATATGCGTCAACACAATGTTTTGTTTGTGGCTACTTGTGTAGGAACAGTTTCTCTGTTGAACGTGATCCAACAGTTAATAGATAAATAAAATGATCTGTGGAGAAGCCGTGCACACCCACAGACAATAATAAAATGGGTAGTGGCATATTTTCGATTGGTATGAATCACACTACATGTCCATTACTTGTATATTGCAATGACACCAAATGTAAACAAAGCAGCAGGATTAAAACCAGAACCAAAAAACTATGTTATGTTCATTTTGCACAAAATGCAGAATGTAGAATGTGGCTTTACCATGTGGCTATTTCATATAGACTATTTATTGAAAACATGATATACATATCAGTTATCGATTATTATTGATTATCGATACTGTATATTGCAATATAGACCTAATCATGGGTGTACATCTTTATTTAACAGTATAATGTTATGATGGTCAGTTATATCATTTATTAGCAGTCAGGCTAAAGTCATTTGAAAAACTTCAGAGAAGTCTAATCGTGGTTGCAGCCATGCCAGCAATTGGGTCTCTTGTAGGTTTAATCTTGTTTCTCTAGCTGTCTTGCCACATTTAATTAATTGTATTTTCGTGCAGCTGTGAGGAGAAATTTTTTTCTGGAGATGATGATGGAAGGAGCTAAGGAGTGAGACATCTTGCGTCCTTCTCATCTCTGTTGAGAGTTGCACCTGCAGCACCGATTGTGCACTCACAAGAAGATGGCAGGAGAAAAAGTGATGAGCTGAAGTGCAAGCAAGCGTTTGAATTATCCTGGAAACAGGAGTTGAGTTGGGTGCCCTTAAAAGGATACAGGAAAAACTCCAACAATATATTGCGCAGTTGGCCACAAGTTTAAGATAAAACAGGGTTGTTTTCTAAAGGCACTTGGAAGTTTCCGAAAAAAAAAGATCACTGGAGTTTCGGGCTGGACGATATCGCTTAAAAATGAAACCCCTGCGATTTTTTTTACATCACATGCTATTTACAATTTGAAACAAATTTGGCTGACAAACGACAAAGTAATTATTATGAACTTTTACCAAGTTCCAGGTTATATTCATTTTTTAAACATCGTCCTAAACCATGACTTAAAATGAACTGTTAAAATGTATCTATCTCCCAGCTATGCTGGAATGCTAATAAACAAAACAGTCTGTATTGGGGCAAGTTGGTTTATGGTTAGATGTCTACTAAACTTTCACCGACAGCTCAAATGTATCCGTCTTATAGCCTAGACGTTAGGTCTACGTCTTTTAAACGCAAAATTGCCTGCTAGGATCCCAACTGTTTTCGGTTATTGTGTCAAATTCGACCATGACCGCCTGACAGACAGCTCCCTCACGCTTTCCTGTTAGTTTAGTTGCACCGGTGAGGACAGGAAAATTTACAAATGTATCACACTGGCAGTGTCTGAAATCCCTAATTCACTATTTCCTCCACTATTTTACCCATAGAACTCACAAACAATCGGTGCATTTATAGAAAGTTAACATGGTCCTGCGAATAGGGACTGATTTCAGCCACAGCCTCTGTGTAGTTTTGTGAGTGAAGCACAGCTCTGCCCGGATACAACTTGAGTGTAATCAGCAGAATGCAGGTGTGCAGGGTGACAAGGCATTTTCACAGCTGGACCTCGTTAGGTCAAAGTGCGACTAACGACTTTCTGTGGGCAAGTTGCAGGTCCTCGCTAACTAACTAATTAAAACTAATTATATAGTTGGAACACAATATTTGACATTGTATCAGTATGTAAATATTTATTCTTAAACCCCCTGGAGGAAGTAGTAGTAAGGCATAGTACTGCTAAGATGCATATACATTGATGCATCAGCTGATGATTGCTCTTAGTTGACACTGTTGGTATAGGTAAATGTTTTTTTCTGCAGAATATTTAGCATCTCCAATAAAAAGTCTACTTGTAAAAAAGTTATAAGGAAGAGACCGATGATGAAGCTCAGGATTACAATAAATCTTAGAAGAAAGGAGGGACTGATTGAGAGAAAATTGGTGAAGAAACGAGTGTGGTAATCAACATTACAAGTGGAAAAACAAGTCAGGCTTAATTAGGTCATTATACAAAGCAGGGGAGCTTTCAGCAGGTGAGATCCTCTCCTCACTGCCCTCCTGGCTGTGCTCCCCTCCCGCTGTGAGGGCAGGCGGGGGTGTCACCCCAGTGTTTTATCTCTCTCAGCCAATCGTCATCTCTAATAAATAAAATTTCACAGGAAGTGGCATGCCAGCTAACACTAATTATACTCAGCAGGAGAGGCTGGCTGCAATTAAGCCACTTGCTAAAACCTTTGCCTGCCAATGCCACGTCTCCCTCTGGGGCCATGTCCACACTACTACATTTCCATTTTAAAACGCATATCTTTTGCTACGTTTAAACTGAGCGTCCACACCAGGCTGTGTGGAGCCTATGTGGAGTTTTAGAGCACCGAAAACGGATACGTTTAAAACGCTCCCAAGGATGGATAAGTTTGAAAACCTCGTAGTGTGAACAGGCCGAATTGATAAGTTAAAGCTTGAGTTTAATCTGCGATCTGTCTTCACTGTTTACATGTTGAAAAAAATCTGATCAGTCCGATCGGCTGCAGCATCCAATCACATAACTGATGAACAATGAGCGGGCGTGTCGACCGTTAAAATACTTCCTGGAAGGCAGTTCTCGTGCGTCTTTGCTCATGGCTCCTCGGAGATCCTTGCTCACTCCTCCAAGCTAAATAAGAGCTTTGAAACGGCCGTTAATATGGCGGAGCAGAACAACTTCCGGTTCAAGCAAGGAGCGAGGAAATGGCAATTAAGAGACTTGGGATGTACCCGTAGACACCAGCGTTGACTACTTGATTAGGTCTTCGCAGTGTTTGACGTGTCCTTCCCTGATTTGTCACGCCCCTAGCACATGACCCTTTTCCGGAAGAAAACAAGCAACAACAGCCTTGATTATCGATCAACTTCCAGTGGTTGATTTAACATGGAGAACTGATTACAGGCGTTGCTGACCTTGTTGTCTATAATAGCAGCTGTTGTGCAGTTAAATTCCACATTTTATAATTCTCCTTCTGCCAACATGCGGAGACAGCAGCTGTTATTGGAGCAGTTAGCGAGCAGCATGTCCAGTGGCGTGTCCAGCGGCGTTATCAGACATACGGAGCTGACGTTTGAAGTCAGTTTGCGGCTTTGAGGACGACGACGGACACAAAACGGAAGACTTTCCTTTTCTTATTAATGCATATTTTGTTCTGCACAACCATTGCGAAGTCCACACATAAACTGTAAAGGAACAAAAGCATAAATGCACTCCAGTACGACAGGGACTTCAGCCACCAGCAGAGCTACGAGTGTGAGAACAGACAATAACGAAACCGAGGAGAAACAAGTGAGACGTGTGTTGACCACATTTATTGACCGATAATCTAGTAAACTTTGATTTCTAGGTGTTCATTTTAAAGTAAATTTGATGTGAGAGAGAGACAGAGGAAGACCCGCAGCCTTGCAACTAAGTTTGAAAAATAAAACTTCTAAAACTTTCCACGAAATGTCTCCGTTTGAGTTTATAGAGGAAGTATCAAGCCCGACCTTTTATTTTTAATGAGTACTATAAAACGGACGTATTTTTTGTAATTTAGCAACAAATCTACCTGTTTACACTGGCACCCGCATTTCCAGTCATGCTAGTATGGACTGAGATTGGTGTTTTTGTTTAAAAAACCCCGTTTTCAACGAAAACGTATCGGTGTGGATGTAGCCAGAGTCACAGCTACCTTCCCCTCCCTTTGGACGATCACCTGGCTCTGCAGTCTGCAAAGAGTCAACCATAAAAAAGTGTGTGCGTGTGTGTGGCTGTTTTTGTGTTGGAGGAAGGTTGGTTCAGGGGGTCTGGCCTTGGTATTTAGCAGCCTTTTGATTAGAATAAATCAGAGAGCTTTCATCTCAGTGAAGGATGTGGAGATCTAAAGGGCAGGCACCTTTCGGCATTTCCAGCAGCGCTAAGAGGGGATGTCATTTACACATACTATACACTATCGATTGATAATCGATCGTTTAATAAGCAGAGGAAATGTGCTGTGACATCAAAGGCCTCCTCAACAACCAACAATAAACAAGGAAGTGATTTGAATGTACCACTTTTATTTGGTAAATAAATGTCCCAAAGAGAACTAGTTACACCCAACTCTGCTGTTGCCTTCAGCTTTACAGACCGTTTTAACATACATTAGCTCATTATTTTAGTTTGTGCCAACTAGTTATTTGGATCAGTCTTAAGGTTGCTGTCTAAGTGGAAAAGCTGTGATAAACCCACTGCACATCACCTGTTATCTGGCACCAACCAGCAGACAGGACAAAGTTAACAACAAGCAGGTGAACAGTGGGTCACCATTTAGCACCTAAAGGGTCAGTAGTTGGTGGACACTGAAACAGAACTAAACGTCGAGTGACTGATAGACTTACATTCTTCAGATGGCCAAAAACACGACTTCAAATGGATGTCAATGCCGCTCTGCTTCTGCCTCGTGTCATAGACTGCAGGTGAACATCAGCAACAGTTTGCTCGCATGTTCGCCATATCAACATGATGATGTGATGAGTCCATGTTGCGCTTCCAGGTTGTTGCACTGCTCCCAAGTGGCCAGGATGTGAATTACCTTTAACTCAAAATAAAAAACGTTTTTTTTTCTCCCAATATATTATCCAGAAACCACAAAGTCCATGCAATATTCAGCTGTTCAGGAATTATTATGGTCAAACAATTGACCTATTTTAACCAAGCATGTTAGCAGAAACGTACTACAGTGCAATTTTTCACTTTTTAACTGTACTGTCAAACACTAGTTTAACATTCGTACAGACCTGTGACGAGCAGCAGCAGATCTTTTGGCTGTGTAAGATTTGGCAGAAGTAGAACATACTTTATCTATAAAATGTTCTCCAAAAGAGCCCTGAATGTTAAAGTCATTGTATGTGTATGCATGAATTGCTGCTTGCAGCTATATTGAAAGGTGTAACAATTCCAATGTTGTTCATGCACTAAGCTACTACCGAGCATGCTCTTCAATCTGCCAGCGTTTGAATCGAGGTATGAACAAGATTACAAGCATTGACAAAACAAAACCGGTTAAAATGTATCACATTTTTTTTTTTACAACATTTTCCCATGTGTTTATTTGAATTCAAGTTGAAGACACAGTGTTGCACAGTCCCAGGGTTTGCATAGATCTGATAAGAAGGTAAAACATGGCAGCTGACAGACTGTTTTTACATATTACAGATAAAACCAGGTCACCCCCCCCCCAAGTGGTCAAATGGACCACGGTTTTTAACAGTACCTCACATTAATTACAAAGGTATCACTGTAACACAGCATGGAACATTTAACATAGTCCTCTCAGATAGAGGAGTAACTTTAGAGCATTTTGGTCATTAGGGAACTCCCACTGAACAGTTTCAGTAACATCGTCGGACGGACATGCAAAATGATTCAAATTGATGGTGAAATTTTGATGTTTAACTGACACATGTAAATAAAACTATGGTGACATTTCTTTTTTTTTTAATCAATGTGAAATGATTTGAAATGTTGCCATGGACAAAGAGGAATTCATCGCTGATAGTAAGTGACAGAACTAAGAAACAGTGTGTGTTCAAATCACCTTAAAGTGATACATCACCAAAAATCATCAAATACTCACCTTCTGCAGGCTTTTTAGAGTATTTGACACTAAAATGATTGCTCAAAGTGCAAGACAACAACAGTATAAAATCACTAAAAGAAAACTAATAACAAACAGACAAAACCCTAACATTCCCTGCTACATGTCAGATATCTCATCGTAAGCATACATTACAGCATGCATGTAGGGCTTTCACTGGTCCCATTTAGTCCAGTTAAAATCCCATTCTTATTCACACATAAGAAGGCTAAGCACTTCAATATTGGCATATTTTCTTAATATAAGATATCCCTTTACAGCGGATAATCTTAAAGAGACACCATGTCTAGTACATTATGCTACGTTGTAAACATGAATTTTCCTTTGCAAATAAATACTCCTGGAACAGTTTTTCAACACTGCTGCACACGTGGAACAACTTCACATTTCCATTAACTTTTGGGAAAATAATAAAAAGTTCTTAAATTCACAGCATTTGCTGTTTCAAGTTGTGAAAGCAGACACATAGCGCTAATTTACAAAACACATATTAAGCATAAATCTTAAAAGATTTAAGACTTAAAATGTACTCATTGTGATATATATACTATGACTTACTGTGATTCTAGCATTTTCCTTCAATACACAAGTGTAAGTGCACTGTAAACCACTCAGTGTCAAGTATGCAACATATTCTACAGTGTCCTTGTCAGCCGCTAATATTCAAAAAGACAGTTTTACACCAGTCCATTGTTGGATGTAAGTGGTGAACTCCAACGTCTCCCTGAGCTCTTAGTTTCTATAAGATAAAAAAGAGAAGTTAACAAGGAGTTTGTACAAATTTACATTCGAAAACGGAACCAGATAAATTACCTGTTTGGCATTTTCTGTCCAGCAGATGGAGCCAACGCAGCTTTCCCTCTTTGCAGGGTGTTACTGGTCGCCTGCAGGCCTTTCGTTTGTTGCTGTTCCTGCATCCAAATAACAAAGCAGACATTTCACACCCAGTAAACTAGAACAAAATTGGTTTTATTCAAACACATACAAACTTACTCACCCCTGATAGTCTGTTGACAGGACAAGGTGGTGGAGGTCTGTTTGGGGGTTCTGGTCGGGGCTTGGGTACTACTGACCGCTGTGGGTGGGTTTTGGCGTCCAGGAAAGGTAAAGGTGGGCGTCCTAAAGGTGGTGGAGGGGCCTGGTTTCGTCGTTGCTCAGTGAGCTGAGCCGATTTAACCGAAGGTGGAGTGTAATCCTGAGGAGAGTATTGTCTGTCTACAGGCTGGATCTGGGGCTGAGGTGTTTGGTCTTTCTGCACTGCAGCATACACTGGGACGGGAGGAGGCTTCACTGCCGGACGCATGATAGCATGCCTGGACCGAGTTGAGCAAGCTGGGCTCGGACGAAGAGAGGGCTTCCCCTGAGGAAGAAAGCAACCATAACAAAGTTCAGGGGTTTCCTCTAATATTCACAAACAATAGAGAATGGCAGTTTTGTCTGGGTCATAGTGGGCTTCTTTACCAGCTGGTCTGAGTCTTGTTTTTTAAGCAAGAATATCGGGTTTGCGTGACCGCTCACATGGCCCTCGAACGGGACTGAACAACTGAGGGTGAAAACACAAATATTTGTGTTTGTATTATTTTCACATCCACACAACATAGAAAGTAAATTGTCAGCGAACTGCTCTTCACTATAATGTGGAGGATTGGTATTTTACCCTCCAGAATACCATACCTTGACACTGGAGGTGGAGCAGAGGTTTTCAGTGGGTGGAGTTTATGTCTGTAGCAGCACCAGAGTCCAAAAGCAGACAAAAACACAAAGAGAACCAGGGGAAGGACCACCAGGACTGGGAGGAGATTGCCTGTTGGCAATAGAACATTAGACAATAGTCAGAAAATTACATCATTTCCAAGACATATTCTAAACTGTCAGTATATGAAAAAAGTGTCTCACTCTGGCTGATGACAGGTCCACTGTTTACACTCCCACCTGACCCCTTCTGGGCACACAGAGGAGGAGCCCAGCCTGCGTCACAGTGGCAGTTATGATTGTTGTTGCACAGCTGGCGAAAGAACACATTACACATTCAAATTACAAGAACAAATGTTTTATTAATTACATTGACATGCAGGTTTAGAAATGAATCACACTTAAGTACACTAGAGAGGTACGTCAAAATCATTTCGAGTGGAAAAAAAAGTCCAAGGTTCAGTGGTGACATGTAATTAAGAGCATTTAGGTATAAATAAATTAAATTGTTCTTTACTTGCATTTTCTGCTAATTTATACGTCTACTTCACTGCATTTGAGAGAAAAATAATGTCCGTTTTATTCAAGTTACTTTACATATTTTTTTCTGATAATACTTCTGTACTTTTACTTTGAGCAAGATTTAGAATGCATGCCTTTTACTTGTACTGGGGTATTTTTACTTTCATATATTGCTACTTTGATTAAGTAAAAGATCGAAATACTTCTTGCACGACTGCAAAGCTTTTTTATATTAGTGGGCTGGCAGCCAAATCTTCCAGCACTCTTTGGAAATTAATCCTCCCAGCATCCTTCCTCACACACACACACACACACACACACACACGCACAGAAACTTACCCCGTGTCCATGGCACTTGGCATTGCACTCATCAGCTCTGAGGAAAGATGCATTGCGGCATTCTCCATTAAAGCAAATCTGTTGAAAGGAGTGGTGCGAGGATGAGAGTCAGTGAAGGGGTTAAAGAGTAGTTCCTATAAGGGGTACAGTTTTTCTTTATGAACATCACAAAGACTGGAGCCACAAAGTTAGTAAATAACAACAATTAAATGTGGCTTTCTGGCAGGTAATAGACAAACCAACATCTCAAACAGAGATCTAAAGCATGCTCTCTGCCACAACAATAAATTCCATTTATTAAATCTCACTGAGTCAACACCACACTTGGTGCCCGTCATGACCAGGCCCGGGTCCAGAGTGTCACCCTGCCCCTCCTCGTCCCCGTGCCCGGGCTTGTACACGTGTGTTCCCATACACTGGATCTTCGTGTTGCCCACGGTGACGGTGGTTTCAATGCGCACAGCGCTGTTCTCAATGGGCTTGGAGGCTGAGGCTAAACACTGGATTTTCCCACATTGAGCATCCCTGGCAGAGACAATAAAAAGGTCATCATCAGTTTGGTGAGACTGGTCATTCTCAGGAAATGTAGAGCAACTAAAATGTGATAGATGAAGTACATGAACCAAATCGTTGAGATCTTCACCTTTCCTTACAGCTCCTGTACTTCCCGAACAGATCTTTGCCACAGTTCCCGTACATGTCCCCAGCTTCGTTTACCTTCTGAAAACACAGGTCAGGGGCCGGGCGGCCATCTGTGGTCGGAGGAGAGAAAGTGCACAGAAACACATGAATAAGTCTGCACACACACACACAATAACACACACATGCAGTAAATGTCTGCACAGTGTGTAATGTGACCACCTGATGGAGACCAGATGGCATCCCTTACTGTTCAGTGTGGCTCCTGTGGTACTACAAAGGCTCTCCAGGGAGGCTCTGTCATAACGTGAATATGGACACTGTCCAATAACAACCCCTAATCCTGTGACCCACTGAGGCGTCTTCTCTAACTCTACCCGGCATATCAAATATGAGATTGTTTGATGGCTAAAATGTTGTGCATGTACATTAGTGACATTTAAACTGAAACTGATAATGCCTATTTTCTAGAATATTGCATCAATAATTCGTCTTAATTTGCAATTAGACTGCATTAGTTTTCGCCAGGTGTACCCAATAAAGTGGAAACTTAGTGCATACGCACGTATGAAATATGCTACATTTACAATGCTGTATACGCTGCATGTGATCAAAATAGACATACCCCCTTTTGGGACAAAAGAATAATAGATTATAAGCATTCAGTTTACCCACCTTGTCCCCAGAGGGAGCGACACTGCTGCTCCAGGGTCAGACACATGCCGGTGTAACAGTAGGCCTGCCCGTCTACACACGACGTACCGTCCACCAAATAGAAATTAGCAGGACAAGACTCCTCCTTCCCATCGCAGTACTCTGGCAGGTCACACGAGCCAGAGGGAGCGCGGCACAGCACACCTGGGCTTTTCAACTGGACAGAGACGAATAAGAAGGAAGAATGGTTAGGAAACACACTGAAGAGGACGACGACAAGAGATATGAAGACAGAATTAGAGCTATAACTCAATTGCTAAAATGTTCTTCACATAGTGAGAAATCAGCCTAGGGGACACATCCATCAGGGGACACATCCATCATGGGACGATCATCAGATTTAGATGACCGTGAATGTTAGATGAATGTTAGTACCTTGCAGTTATGACAGCAGACGCCATGGGCACACTCAGCTCCAGCTTTCAGAGTGCAGTTGTTGGCGTTACAGCAGGGACTTTTACACTCCTGCACAAAGAGTGTAGAGTCAGGAGTCCTGGCAAAAACATACAGGGAAAATATGTATGGCAACATTCAAGAGACACAACACACCTCTTCTTCTCCACAGTCACATTCTTCTCCATCCTCCAGGTAACCGTTGCCACAGCGCTGCCCTCCATACATGGATCTGGTGTTTGGCAGGTTGAAGAGACACTTCCCTCCTCCAGAGCTCAGGTAGCTCTTCAGCTCCTTCAGGTTGCAACCATTGAACACACGTGGAAATGGATGCCTGGTTCGTGACAAGGAAGACGCACACAAACACATTATGCAAACTTTATTGTAATCAAATGTCATCTTTCAAATCTTCAGTTTTTCTCTTCCATATTAGTTTAATAGCGGCCATTCGTTTGGCTGTAGGACACCTGCGTATCGTACCCAGTAGCAGCAGCCATGATACAACCTCCGTCTTCGGCCTTCGCCTGGCAGCAGCCTGCACTGTCGTGGCTCATGCCGAAGTTGTGGCCCATCTCATGTGCCATGGTGGCAGCCACACCCACAGCTGACTCCGAGTGGTCCTATTCAAAAAGAAGGGTAACAGATTACTTAAAGATCTGTAGAAAACGTACATAACATACTAGAGTATTACGCTATATTAATCTGGGATACACTTTTGGTTTTTAAATGTTTTCCCCACAAGTACATTCGGCTCACAATCTGGGATTTGTGCCTTGCTCAAATCTACGTCAACACACGGACAGGAGGAGCTGGAGATCAAACTACCAACCCTACGATTACTGTCTTAACCATTGTACCACCTGAGTTGCAGCCACCCCATCTGGATTAATGTTTGTTTAGAGTCTTGTCTCTCACCGTGTTCACTCCACCGGACTGGTAGTCGGAGCACATGGCTTTGAGAGGTGCCAGCCCGATGGTGGTGCCTTGGAAGCCCTTCCCCCTGGAGACACAGAACGCCACTGGTGATTAGTTCCAGCTGGACAACGGCCCACAGGGATACAACGTGATAGTTATTGTCTCACACAAGATAGAATCAATTGAGAGACCCCCCCCCCCCCCAACGGGACAGGAGGCTAAGAGGAGATAGGTGGGACACTAGCGTTGGAGAGGGTGCAGAATGACAAATGGGAAGATTAGTGGGATAGAGAAACACTGACGTGATGAGCTGAGCGTTGTCGTTGGGGAGCGTGCGGAGCTGTTTTCCTCTCCAGGACAGGAATGCTGCCAGGGTGCTGTGAGGGTTGTCTGAAACGTTGATCATGTCATGGCTGTTCCACACCTCCAGACCGATCAACGCCACACGGATGCTCAAGGCCTTGTAGTACTGCGGGTGTGAAACGTCACAGAGAATTTGACTTATCACTACTCAATATGGGTGAGATGAATCTGATGAGTCTTGATTGTGGTTTTCATGTTCTGCATCAGATGCTACCTTGTCAACCAAGTTGGCCGCCTCCAGTAATTTCAGTTTGGTCTTCTGGAGACTACTCCCATGCTTCTCAAACTGCAAACGACATAAACCACATAGTACACAGAAATAGACACACACACATTTCTTGCTAAACCTCAAAAGGGGACTTGAGACGACAAACAGGATATAATTCAGATCTTTATATTTACCACAACTTGCTCTAAATAGAGTGATGGTGCAATTTACTGACATATTCTATATTTAAGTATACATTTATAATACTGAAATATACATTTTATGCTGCATTTAAATAGCTCATAACAGCTTCACAGCTGACATTGGGCGAGAGGCGGGGTATGCCACAGGGCTGAGTCATATAGAGACAGACAACCATTCACACCTATCTACAGCGTGTTGCTATCATGATCTCATGATACCTGTCCTCCCACATGTAATGCTGTCATCATTTTTATTTCCCGTCTTGTTAAAATGTGGCCAAATCCACAACCGTGTCCTCACCTCAGCCTTGTCCGCCACTATCAGCAGCTCCACGTACTTCATATTCTGGCTCAGGTCCCTTTTCTCCTGAAAACAGGTGCAGAATATTGTCATGATTTTGTGTAAAACCTGCAAAGGATTGTGGGTTGCAGGTGATTTTGTCCATTGTCCTGTCCCAACTCACCCTCGCACTCCGCGATGACATCATTCCGTGGATGAAGTCGTCGAGCCCCTCCTCCTGCTCCCCGTTGCCATGGTGATGCAGGCAGCTACCTCCGGGTAGGCGGAGACTCTCGGCTCTGAACACGGCGTGCTGCTGTGCACCCATGGAAACGGGAAGAGGCTCTATCAGGTAGCTGACGCTTGTGTTCAGAGAAATCAGTCCCCTGGGGAAACAAGACACTGCTGATGGTTCCGTCCAATCATAGATCGAGGAAATCAATGTGGATCGATGAGCCTGTCTGTGTGTTTGCACACTGTGGCATACTGGTAAATCTATAGCAAATAATGTAAATAAATCTTAAAAACATCAGATTAAATGAAATTTCCAACAGCTATCCTTCATTGGGATTCTTTTTATTTGGCTGTGGTGGTTTTTAAGGATTGGGTGGAGCAGAGCGAAGTGTCTAAAGCTATTTACAGCTGTTTATAAATGAAAATCAGCTGGGGCAGACAGAGCAGTCCACAATCTTTTGGCTTCTTCACAAAACCCCTCATAAATGCAGATGTCTATACACAAACACGCTAGCATGCACGCAGCAGCAGGTCAAGCAGCTGTAGCAAACATCTGGAGAGGTCAGACGCCCACATGTCAGTGTCCCTCTATGCTGCGTTTGCATTTCTCCAGAGAATCTACATTAGTAGGAAGACGTATTCATTCAGTCGTCCTCCAGATGCAGAGCACTGAACCCATGGAAACACACATGGGGCTACGATTTCTGTCAGTGCTTTCCAGTTCCTCCACTGATGCCGGTGTTTCTAGCCAGAAGGCTCAGCTGCCTTGGATCGACACCAGCAGAAAACACAGGATCTCCATTCTGAGCTGTACTCAATGAACCAGCTCCCGGGGCAATGACCTACTAACCTACTGGACATAACTGTTTCCTGTTACCTTATCTACTCAGCCATGGCTTGATCACAGGCTGGACCGATGTGCAGGCTTTGGTTCTTTTCATCTACAAAATCCTGTTCACAAACAATCTGAGGATTCTTTCCAAGAGCTCTTAACTTGCTCTCAAAAATTCATAGCTAGGATTCCCAGCTTAGGGAAAGAGTCTGATATATGCATTTTTTTGTACTGATCTTAATATGGCAATAACCTGATTTCTTAAAGGTTGTGTTTAGGAGAAACCTGGTTTATATAACCGAGGAAGGGGATTATCAGCTAGATTTCTTATGAAGAAAGAGTTTCTGATCAGCTAATCAGTATTTGTGTGTGTTATGTAGACAAGTATTTTATCAATGACTTAGAAAATAGTAAGAAAATTGCAATGTATCCATCAATTGTGTTTTGCTGGCCCAAAATGAAAAGAACTGAGGCAGTAAAATTAGCATTAATGGAGCTAAAAGCTTCCATTCATTGAGAGAGCGCTGCAAACACATTGTTAGTAAGATCAATCACAAATACCTTCCCTCCATGAGTTATTCTGCAGCACTAACTCCCGGTTTATGCGTATTGGGAAAACTTTCCTCTTGGCTCCGTTTCTTGCGGCTCTGTAATCCTTTGCTGAAGTAACGCTGAAGCTACAGAGAGTGCTCTTCCCTGCTCTTAACTCTTGGAGCTGTCTTAAAGAACAGCTTTTTACTTTTAGAGGGATTTAGTCTTATGGGACACTTCTTCGAATTCTCAGAAATGTCTTTCACCATTGGGACCAACTCTAAATATTTGAAAACTTTATGAAAACAGCCCATGGTGGAGTTTCACTTACCTGAGTCCCGAGCATGTGCTCACAGCAACACTTGAGCCTTTCATGCCCAGAACCTCCCCATGGTAGAAACAGTGTCCCTACAACACAAAAACAATTAAAGCTCAACACACGCACAGTGATAAGAGAGACGGTCATCCAACCAGAAGACCTCGTTATGTAAGCATAAAATGTAATATTTTATGACCATAACGCTCGTTATTCTCCTGCCATAGGATTTGATAAACTGCATTTGTATCCATTTCTCTTCTATGATCACCTACAGCTCCCCACTGCATTTTAAGAGCATCAAACTGTCTCGTAGACTTACAGTGCTGGCAGGAGAGGAGGACCTGCGGGCTCCATCGGGAGTGTACCATATTTCCTGATATCCAGGGGCCAACAGCTGCCTGGTGGAAGATGGCACACAACTCAGAGGCAATTTGCAAGAGAATATATGTAGCGTCTAACGTTCAATCTCCTGAAAAAGCAGCAATATGGTGGAACAATGGTGAAAAGTGAGTAAAAGCTGGGGCAAACAGAGGAGATAGAAGAGGACAGATTCTCTTCAGCATCCCACAGCTCTTGGGGCAGAGCACATTCACTCTGACGGAGACAAAACCAGACCGCTTTAAAGATTTAGACAAAGATCCTCGCAGACATACGAGGAATAAAGTGGAAAAGTTTTGGGACTGGAACAAAATCCATATGTACCTTTCACAAATTACCCTTTTTACTTTCTGTAAAAGTATTGCTCAAGTAAGAGATGGTAACTTCCCGATGCTGAGAGTATATTTGGTGGTATGCATTGGTTTGACAGGGCTATTATTTACAAAAGTCCTCTTTTTCTTTTCTCCATTACTGGAATTTCTCCATTAGTATACAATACAGACTGCGCAGGAGAGGCTGATAAATCAGGGAAACATACACATACCGAGAGAAACATTACATTCCTTACTCTCCATCTGTGTATATGATTGAGTGAGTGTCTTCAGACTCGGGCCGTTTCTGTCAAACTTGTCAACCTACCGGCCCAATATTTACATCTCGTACAGATGCTTGTTTTCCTGTCTTTCTCCTTCCAGCTCCGTCTCAATCCATTCTTCCTGTTTTCATTCATAAACTCTGCCTGACTCACAGCTGGTTTTCTTTTGCTCCGTATCGCTAAATCTCCCCCTACGGTCAAACTCGGATGCATCAAACAGCCTGCAACGGCAATGGAGTCAAGCTCTAGGGAAACCTACAAGTATCTACTGGTGCTGATCGAAAGACTGGACTTGACTTAAGTCTCAAATAAACACAGACAGACCCCAAGATGTCCCACTCAGGTTTTATTATTCATCATGTATCTCCACCTATTTTCTATTTTAGCCAGCTTGTGGCTTCACCTCAGGGTAGTAGCTATGTATTCTGTTATTCCTTTTTCATATTTGCCAGATAGAATTCGTGAAAATCAGTGGGGTGAAGTTAAATTAATAGTTCAACATTTTGGAAAAAGTGCTAATTTGCTTTTTTTTTTTGCAGAGAGTTAGATGAGAAGATCTATCCGCTCTCCTATCTGTCCATTAAATATAAGGCTACAGCCAGGAGCTGGCTAGCTTAGCTTAGCATAAAGACTGGGGGAAACATCAAGCCTGGCTCTGGTTTCAGTGACTCTGCAACTTTTTGTACGTATTAAAGAAATTATATATAATGTGTTAATTAATGAGCCTAAAGGGCGATTGCTGGATTTGTTTTATTGTTGTAAAGAGCCAGGCTAACTCTTTCCCCCTGTTTCAAGTCTTTATGCTAAGCTAGGCTAATCAGCTGCTGTAGCTTCATATTCAGCACACAGACATGAGAGAGGTATCGATCGTCTTATCTAACTCTCGGCAAGGAAGCAAGTATAAGTGTGTTTTCCAAAATGTCAAACTATTCCTTTAAAGGATGATGAAGACAAATGAAGGGAAGACGGGGATTTTTCTGTTCTCTTCCGTCAGATGCCCCGAAGGAGACAAGCCACTTGAAACAATGACAGCCTGTTGATGCAATCAGCCACAGAGCAATACAAAGACAGAAAACGTCTGCTTCATCCTTTAACAGATTACCACCCTGGGGTTGGGAGACTGAAAAATGATCAGTCAGCGGTAATGCATCCGGCTGACACCCTAAACTGGGTAACCCCCCGTATTGTGATTTGACCTTCTAACCGCATTTATATCTGGCCTTCCTCAAGTTTTCCTGCTTCTTCAACTCCCCGAATATTCCCATCATGCACTCCTCTCGTCTGTGTAACCCTCTCTGTCGCTTTAAAAAGGCAGAATTAATGGCAGAGTGGCTGATGATTGATTGAGCTTTACCCGGCTGCTATATACAGGAAGGCTCCCTTCTTCCATGAGGAGACGCATAATGACTCGTTCTCTCCTCCATTCTCTCTGATTCTCCCATGCCAGTCAGCAGCTGAGTACACACATAGAGTGTATAACATGCCGCTATGTGACATATAGACACAACAGGCTATTAACAAAGCCACCGTCACTACTGAAAACCTAATGCCAGCTTAGTTTTGTCTTTTTCCCCCATTACTAAAATGCTGATGAAAGGCTACTGTCTCTTCTGTGGAAGGTTAAATAGAGTTAATGCCTTCTCTGTTTAGGCAGTGAAAATAACTCCTTTGACATGACTTTTTAATGCCATAGCCACTGAACTTGTGCCAACTGGTGGTTTATTTAAACCGTAAAGAACTGAAAGCTGAAACAATACATCTGTCATCCGGCAGAATCAACCACAGGAACCACCCAAAATAACTTGCAGGTGCAGTTAAACTGCGTAGTTTCAATTTGACTAACCAGTGTCTCCAGTAGTAAAAAGAAAAAGAGTATAGTTCAGGTAAATGGAACTGCAATGCACATGCAGTTAAGCATGAATGCATTAGTTCATTGCTACAAAATGTATGTAAGAATAGGAGCAGTGTTGATCAGTGACAGTGGAGGAAAGCTTGTTTTGACATGAAAAAGTGGCATAATGCATCTTTTAACATTTGATCAAGATCAACCTTCCTGCTCAATGTCTTATTGCTGCTCTGCATGCGTCAAAAAATGGTTGTCTTAGTTGCTGCTTCGTGTCACTTGCATGGCTAAATGTACCGAATAGTGGATATTGTTGCTGTATTATTGTACTAATGTTTTGCTGTTTCTTGTTGCTCTGCTTGAGAAAGCTTTTTTTGTTGCTCTTGCTATCTTTAGGGTGTCTGGTTGTCATCTGAGTTTTTCACCAATTTTAACCATTACCTGCCAAGTCTAAAATGAATAATTCACATATTTGCTTGCTAGCTGTGAGCTGGTTGAGACAACTGGCATCACTTTCACATCTGTAGGAGAAATATGAAGCGACAGTCAGCTAGCTTAGCAGAAAGACTTTGAACAAGGGAAAGCAGATATCCTGCCTCGAGCAAATGATAACGAAATCTGTCTAGCAGCATCTCTGAAGCTCACTGAGTAACACCCTTTATCTCATTTGCTTCCCCGTACAAAAACAGAGATTTAACAAAGCCTATAATTCGGTTTTACGCGGGTTACGCAGAGGACTACTTCTTGGCCCGGGTGCAGTGACCTCCGAGGATCCTGCTGTCACAGTGACACTGCTGGCAACCAGCTCCAGGAAGTCACTGCGCCTGGCTAAGAAATAGTCTGTCACCCCCTTTAACCCACAAATGATTGTTTTTAGACTTTGGTGTTTTCACGGATTAAACAAACAATATATGGTGTTAATCAGCTTTAGAGGTGCTGTTAGGAGGAGTTGGCTGAGTTCCCCTGTTTCCAATCTTAATGCTAAGCTAAGCTGCTGCTGGCTGTAGTTTCGTATTTACCGTACAGACTTAGAAGTCTGTCCCATCTAACTCTCGACAAAAAAAGTCAACCCTTGAGTCTAATGGCATTCTGCGAAATGCTGTGAGAGCTTTCAAATCAAGACTGCAAACATCTCTGTGCGATGGTGGGAGAGCGCCACAGAGTTTGGACTTAGTCCAGTGTCCACACAGATGCTGTGATTGAGGAGCTCAATACTGGCTGAATCAGGACTGTCTGAGGCTGAGACAAAGGCTTGGTTCAGCCTCATGAGGGGAGAGAAGGGGTGGGGGAGTAATGCTAATGTACTTAGGAGATAGTGAGGGGTTGGGGGGGGGAGAAGTGGACGTGGGGTAATGCATTAGGGTCAGTGGGTCGCATTCTCTCATAGGATCAGATGACATCACCGCACGCGGGTGGAGGGAGGGAGGGAGAATGCTGACGCAAAGTCAAAGTACCACTCTGCAACGGATGATGAAGAGGCTTTTATTGCACAGGGAGGCCAATGTACTGTGGTGTGAAGCCCTTTGTGTGTGTGTGTGTGTGAGTGTTTCACTAACACACAGGCTAACACACTGGCCTACATTAAGACATCAAAGCAGATGGGACCGAGCCACTGTGAGACTAAACATAGAAACAAGGACAAGGCGAATGCATCCCTGCTCTCTGCTCCCCAGACCTGTGATCCATCAGGTCTGAGCTTCCAACCTTGTTTGTGTTCCTTTGGGCTGCTGCTGCCATGTGTGTGTACAAGTGTGTTTGTATGTGTGTCGTCTGTCTGCGTGTGGCCTCAGTCTCCCAAACCCTGACCGCGGCGAGCGTGTGGGAGATGCATATTTGCACTAGAGCCCTGGGGAATATCAGATGAGGTGAGGAAAGAAATGAGAAAGAATGGGGTGCTCGCTTTGAGAGTGGACAGTGGAAAATGTACGAGGTGTGGACGAGGTGGGAACAATGATGTGCGCATTTCACAAGGGGGTGCTCAATTTATTGCAGTTCATGCATTTTAGGGTGTGCAGGAAGGGCATTAAACAGAAGAAAGTCATGCAGAGGAGGAAGCAAGAGCATCCACACGATTCATATCTGAACCAAACGCACATTACTCACACCCAAACTGACCCCGACCGTCGCCACTTTCCTCTTTCCATGACTTCTATCACCTCAACCCTTCTACTCCGGTCCATCATTCATTTTCTTACACCGTCCCCTCCCCCTCTCACTCACTGTTTCCTGCACTCCTGAGTCAGCATACTGGCCGCTGTCTGGCTCTTAACCAAATCAACCCTCTACGGGAGCACCTTAGCCTTTCATTAAGATAAAAGCTCAGGCAGACACACACAGCGATGCTCGTACAGACCACAAAAAAAAAAAGAGACCCACACGCACACACGTTGACAAGAATGGCTGGGGAGGACATAAATGGAGTCTGTGCTCCGGCCACTGGGAGTACTGATGCCCACAAACATTCACGGCTATGTCTTTCTCCAGCTTTTGATTAAGTGATACATTAAGTGAAGAGTACTTGAGGTGGACTGGAATTAAAAGGGAGAGAGCCAAAAAAAAAAATAAAAAAATGGATGTAAAATGCAGGAGAGTAAACAGAAAGACAAGATCAAGACCATTTCACAGCTGGGTTGGGTTCTCCCTTATCTGCTGACTGTCAGAGTTACAGTTGCAGGGGCAATGAGGACAAGAGGGAGTAGCCAGGACACAAGAGACGGACACTGGCAGCATTTTCTCTGGCTTCTCTCCATAATCAGACATCGATCTTCAGTGACACAAACTGCTGTCTTCTTCTTCTTCTCCACATTAGGTCAACAGAGGATACATTTAAAAAAAAAAAAAAAAAAAAAAAAAAAAAAACAGTAACCCAATCTGGGATTTGCTGTTTAGTCTTGGAGAGAGGGGAAACACTGGCTGGTGGCGAGGCGAAATGGTAAACCTCAGAGTTTATAATGTGTCCTCAAAGAGAGACTCTTTCTTTGCAAGCGGTGAAACTATGTTTTGTGAGGGGCCGTGTGAAAATGATTGGGGTGGGGAGGGGGGCTGAACTTCATAGTTCGATGTTTAAAAAAAGAAAGGCCATCCAAAGAGTTTCTAAAATATTTAATTAAAGTCCCGACTCATATAAAGTTAAGATACGTTACCCAATTGAAAAGGGTGTACAGTTAAAAACGTTGTATGTTGGTGGAACAGTCATTTTCATAATATCCACCAAATTGCACATTTTGTTGACCAAACATTACAGCCACTACATTCCTGAGGCAAAAAGCTACCGAACTTAACCGCTCCGTCAGTGACTGAATGAACTAGCACAGCCGACAGCTTTGTGCAGTTCAAGGGAAGGCTGACATAAAATATAAATCTGGTAAAGATGTTGAAAGACCTGCACTTCTAAATAAATGCAGACTACCCTCCCTTTAGAAAAAGAGAAAGAAAACACATGACCCCTCCCCCCTTTCATGACCCCCTCTTCCCCCAATACTGACTTTCGTACAGTCCCGAAGTGAATTGTGGCATAAAAACATACAAGTACTTGCTTAAGTGAATGAAGCACAATAGAGTATTTAGATGACTTTTTTTATACATCAATAAAGCTCTCAGACACAGTGAATTAAAGGATCAATGTCAAGGAAATGGAAATGTGTTTCTTTCATATGAAACTATTAATTTTTGTGCTTTATGACAATTAACAGTTTTATTTCTCCAATTATTTTCCTTTGTTTTTTTTACAACAGTCTACCACAGTACTATATGTTATATCATATTTCATTCTATTTAATATATTTTATTCCAATACTTTAACTTCTGCACTATTGCATTGTGTCTTATATTCTCATTTGTACTTGATTGATTGTGATTTTCTCTTTATACATTTTGTATGAGCACTGTTGGAGGGAGCCCGAGGACAAAAAATGTCACTGCCAATGACTGCTTCACTGTAATTGTGGTGCACATGACAAATAAAAGGGACTTTTCACATCACCTCACTCCTATTCTACGGTAAGTGTAGAAGTGATTGGCACGGGTGAAGCAATTCAGCTTTCCTGTTTCAGGAAACCGTTGAGAAGTTGCACAAAACGGTTTCAAAATACATTTGTCTTGCTTACGACTGAAATTAATTGGATTTTTTTCTACTGCACCGTGTTTCCTCTTTCTTAGAACGATCTACAAATATTGATATCAGTTAACACCATCTCTATTTCGTGTTGAGGAACCCGAAAAAGTTTCATCAAATCTATCTCAAACCAACTTCGACTTCCCTTGTCTCTGTCCCTCTCTTAACCCCACACACAGTGTGTGATTGATTAAAATTCCTTGCCCAGGAGGAAATCTGACAGTGTGACCACCTGCTGGAGAGGGAGAGCGGGGGGGG